GGTGATTCTGTGTTACTCTGATTTTATTTACCACGTATACATGAATTAATAAAATATTTATTTTAGTTTGCACAGCTGGCGCTCTATCACTTGAGCCATGCCTGCAACTTTACTTTTTGGAGATTATTTTGGAAGTGGAGTTTCATGGATTTTTCTGGATGGGTTAGCTTTCAAACTGAAATACTCAGAATGTTAGCCTCCTGACTAGGATTACAAGCGTGAGCCAGCTACACCTGTCTTAGACCTTGTGAAAAATCACTATTCTATCCAAGTTTCTAGGCAAACAGAAAACTACACTCCAAAATATAAAGGCAAAACTAGACACTATGTTGAAAATGAACTATACAACTTGTGGGGAAAGAGGGTCAGGAGGTAAAATCTGGGAGAAAATCTGGGAGGTGACACTGTTCAAAAAGAAATGTACTCATTACCTGACTTACATAACTATAACCCCTCTGTATATCACTTTTACAATAACAAAAATATAAATATAAAGGAAGAAAATTATAGGATATGTTTAATGAGCCATTTTGTTTTTAACATACAGGAAAGGCAGAAAATTAGGCTAGGACTTTATCCTGAAGGATTTTGATTACCACTCTCAAAGTGAACTCAGATATATATCAAATTTACAAGTAGAACTAGATAACACTGGATAGTTAATCAGAAGGTATCTTCTGTTGTGTTTTTAAAAAGTCTGTTCTTTGTGTGTCAAATGATTTTTAATATATTTTATTATTTTAGAGTGTTAGATGTCTAAATACACCAATAGGGCCTTTTCTATTGAATTTAGCATATTTTCCAAAAATTCACACAATGTTTTGGGTGTGTGTGGGTGTAACTGTACTGGGGTTTGAAATGAAGGCCTTGTCCTTCCTAGGCAGATGTTCTACCACTTGAGCCATGACTCCAAGTCCATTTTTGCTTTAGTTATTTTTAAGGTAGGCTCTCAAGAGAAGTTATTTCTTTATGTTGTACAGGGCTGATCTCAGATTGCAATCCTCCTACCTTGGTCTCCTTGTAGTTGAGTGTACAAACATAAGCTACCACACTGCTTATCTATTGGGATGGAGTCTTACTAATGTTTGCCCAGGCTAGCTTCTAACAATGATACTCCCAATCTTCACCTCCAGAAAGCTGGAATTACAGGTGTGCACCATCACATTAGGGTCATTTTCTCTTTTCATATTTTGAATTATTTAGGTATTCACAAAATATTTGTGACTATTTTGTTTCTCAAAATGTATTAACAAACATATTTGTTATATTGTATGTATAATTACTACCTTTGATACAGTAAGAATTACTCAAAGTACAAGTATTATCATATTTCTAGTCCATATAGCTATAATGAAAGTCTGTCATTTTATACCAGCATAATTTGGAAACCCAATTTCGGATATGCTTCAGATATATAAAGTATCATGAATATTTTGTCTTCATATATTCCAAGAAGTGGCATCCCCTTTAATATAGTCATTTTGAAAGTCTAACCTACATAGTCTAATGATGTTACTAATGCTTACATTACTTTAAAAATTCTTCTTCATGGGGCTTGGAAGTTGGCTCAGTGGTAGAGTACTTGCCTTGCATGCATGAGGCCCTCAGTTTGATTCCTCAGCACCACATAAGCAGAAAAAAGGTTGAAGTGGGGCTGAGGCTCAAGTGGTAGAGTGCTAGTCTACAGCTGAAGAGCCAAGGGACAGCGCCCAGGCCCAGAGTTCAGGCCCCATGACCGACAAAAAAAAAAAATCCTCTTTCAGAATTACCTGAGCCCTTAGCACATTCTTTTAAATATCTTCAATGAAGCAAATCTTTGGATTGTGAAAGTAGATGTGATATCTAGATATATTTAGAAATCACTTGGGGATGAGTCTGCTGTGTAATCTCAATGAATAATATTTTTTCTTGGTAGGACCTATGAAGGCAATTCCAAAAGAAAAGACAAATTCCAAAATACTTTGAGCATTGATAAAATAATTTACATCAGTATGTAACCTTCCAATGTTACTATTCTGAAATGCCACATTCCTGCGAATTTAAAGCATGCTTCTTATGGTATTCATCAACTTTTGACTATGTTCTAACTCCAGTGATTGAAGATGTTCTGTATATAGGTATAGCTTCCCATTGGTCACAATGCTCTGAGTTTTGATCCTTCCCAAGTAGCTGGTAAGGATTTAGAAGTAATCTGTTTTTCCAGAATCCTGTGTCCAGTGCACCCACTGACCCATAACCTACATTCATCACTTCCACTGCCGGTACTCAGGTGACACAAAAAAGCCACTGATGCACTGCCTGGCTTGTTTTCTCCTTGCCACAGGGACATTGAGCCTTGTGCTAACTCTAAACCTCCATCTAATTGCCAACATCTCCCTATGGGCAGAAACCCCTGCTGTCACATCCTTACTAAACAGATTAAACCATATGAATATTCTGATTGCTACTTCAGACACTGTTTTGGGGACATCTGATTACTTTTCTTATGGGTTAGCTTTAATGGTCCCAGGTGTGTGTGTGTGTGTGTGTGTGTGTGTGTGTGTGTGTGTGTGTGTGTGTGTGTGTGTGTGTGTGTGTGTGTCTGGTATTACTGGTGCTTGATTGGAGATAGGAGTCTCATGGACTTTCCTGCCTGGACTTCCTTAGAACCGCTCCTCAGATTTCAGCCTCTTGAATAGCTAGGATTACAGGCATGAGCCACTGGTTCTGGCTCGGGTTTTTGTTTTTGTTTTTTAATTTCAACAGCATACTGAATTCTCCAGAGGCTTGTGGTAAAGTACCTTTCAATACTGTCCCTGTGTGCATATAATAATGATTTTTTTTGGGGGGGTCCGGTCGTGGGGCCTGAACTCTGGGCCTGGGCGCTGTCCCTCAGCTCTTCAGCTCAAGGCTAGCGCTCTACCACTTGAGCCCCAGCGCCACTTCTGGCTTTTTTCTTTTTGGTTATGTGGTGCTGAGGAATGGAACCCAGGGCCTCATGCATGCCAGGCAAGCGTTCTACCACTGAGCCACCTTCCCAGCCCCAATAATGATTTTTTTAAATTTTATTTTATTTTTGTGGACATACTGTACAGAGGGATTACAATTACATGGGCAGGATAATGCGTACATTTCTTATCAAGCATTGCAGCCTCCTCCTTTGTTGATTTATATATATATAGCTTTATGTACCTTACCAAACTCTTTCACTTTGTTGCATAATTTGGCCATAACAACACTATTATAAAGTAATGATATAATAATTTCTACTATATTTGTTTCTTCAACATCTCATTGTATAACCTTTAACTCAAAAATACTAATTTTATCTGATATCTGGATGTATTTTTCACTTTTTATCATCCAAGGTAGCAAATGTTTCAATAAACATTTTTTCTTTTAATTATAGGTAAATATTTAATGAACACCTAGTCAACTAAGTATTTTCAAAGCTAAACAAGAGTCTCTGTGTTTAACATAATGTGCCAATTATTCATTTCCATAGCAGCCTACCATACCACACAGCAAGAGAAAATTGTTTTATCACCTTTTATGTCACGTTTTCCAATTTAATGAGTTTTCAATGTAATGAATTTTATCATTAACTTATTCTACTTTATTATTAGAAGTGATATTTATGCCAAGTAAAATTAAACTTCTCAAGAACTAATAATAACTGAAACATATTGCGTGCTTACTATATATCAGGTACTATTTCAATGTCCTTTACAGTATTAAGCTGTTTAATCTTTCTAGCAACTTAGAGATAGACACTTATTATCCCCATCTTACAGAAAAAGAAAATTAGACATAGAGAGTTTAACTAATGTGCCCAAAGTCACAGAGCTTAGAAGTAAATAATTGATACCCAAGCAGCATGAACCTGGCACCTCTATAATATATTGCCTCTATACTAGAGGTAGAGGGCAATGTAATATTTGTTTCATACCTTTTCCACTCTAATAGTTATTAATATTATCTTGATATTTAACAAAGAAGGTAAAAGTAATGGTGAAGCATAAGAAAAAGCTTTGTAAAATGCCATCTGCTTGCAGATTGATTTTGACAAATAATTACAGCAGCACACATATTACCATTCTAAGCACAATGCACAAAGCCTTGTCATTTAATGAAAACACTAAAGAAAAGTACTTCCTGAGAGTTAATTTCATAAAATGATGTTTAAGAAATATTATGAGAATTATAGAAGAGAATACTATTATATTTATGCCCAAATCACTAAAAATATGCCTAATTGCATGGTCTTTATTCAGGTTATTATGGTCTGACATCTATGGAAAAAAAAACATTGGCATACATTAGTTGAATAAGGGAGTTTTCATTGTGACATTTCTATATGTGTAATATACCTCATCTACCTCCATTCCCACATCTCCCTCATTCCCTTCACCTTCTTAAAACAATTTCAACAGGTTTGATTTTTCTATTTTCATATGCTCATATGAAGTACTTCAACCTCTTCACCCTCACTCACCCTCTGTTCCCTGCCACCTCTGATTTTATTTATTATTTATTTTTTTAATTTTTATTTTTCTTTATTGTGAAAATACTGTACAGAGGGGTTACAATTACATGGGCAAGATAATGGGTACATTTCTTATCAAGCATTGTAGCCTCCTTCTTTGTTTCCCCTTCCCATCCCTTCCCATCTTCCCCCCCACCCCCCCACCCAATCCTTCCCCCCCCCCACCAAAGCCACCAGATTTCTTATTCTAAATACAACAACAGAGATTAGTTTAAAAATTGATGGTATAATTGTAGGTAGTTGTGATTTTTTGTTTCAACTTTTAATGTGTCATTTCTAACAAGAATACTGTTGTTAGAATCGGAAAAATATTTATTTTATTGTGCATGAACTTTCAGTAAAGTCAATAAAGTGACCTGTGAAGAGTTTCCAAATAGCATTGTAATGTTAGGCCTCCATACAGTCCATTAGAAATCAAGATTAAGCACAGGGGTACAAATAATCCAAGACTTATATCTTAATATCTTCTTCAGATATGGAACCTGATAATATGGACCCAGAAAATACAGAATTGGAAAGTAGAGGAGTTGAAATGGTTACTTCTGTCTCTGCACTCCAGGCATTGTCTAACCTGCTTTATCCTGAAGGAGAGGAAGAAGAAGAAGATTTTGACTCTGAACAGGTAACTATATACCTACAGATGCATTAGTTTTGTCCAGGGAAATTGGGAACTTTATTTGAACAACTTGTTCTCTTCTCACTGTGTGAGCAGAGCTGTGTCATCTACACATTTATAGGAGGCTGAAGGGCTAGTTATTCATAAGAGTCTAACCTGTAATACATTTCTACCAAACATAATTACATATTTTTTCCAAATCACCTGAACACTGAATAGAAAAATAGTTCTGTAACTATGGTAGCAGTAGCCACATTTCAACATTTTGTCATTTTATATTTATGGTCAAAGTCTGCCTGACAATCATTGCACAAACTGTAACTAGGACTATTTATGCCTAGACAATTATTTCTATAAAATAAACATTTTCAGTATGCAAGACTAATTGGGCCCTCAAGTTTCAGTCCCTTAATTTTTAAAAAATATGTCTACACATGAAAACAGAACAGAAAATACATGGAGCCAAATAAGCTAGGACAAACTAGCTTCAACCTACTGAAATTGGCTTTCCAGCACATACTCCAAGAACTGTGAAGTGTAATTAGTGAGTGGCATTTGGGGTCAGGACAAGTAACACTAGGAAGCCTTAGCAAGAGGGGCTTCCTTTGGAATAGAAGGGATCCTTGTACTGACTCTTCACCTTTCACTCCAAGAACATTGCTATTTTTTCCAGAACAGCTAGAATTTTTTTTTTTTTTGGTGGTGGAACTTGAACTCTGGGCCTGGGCACTGTCCCTCAGCTCTTCAGCTCGAGGCTAGCACTCTATCACTTGAGCCACAGCACCACTTCCGGTTTTCTGGTGGTTAATTGTAAGAATCTCACTGAATTTCCTGCCCGAGCTGGCTTTGAACCACGATCCTGAGATCTCAGCCTCCTGAGTAGTTACGATTACAGGCATGAGCCACTGGTGCCTGGCTAGAAAATTTTTTACCACCCTCTTCCCCTCATTCTCCTGCTCCTTAAGTAGCAGTGAACCTTGGCTATTAGACTGCCTAGGGCAAGTAAAGTTTGGGGAAGAAATCTTTTAACAGAGTATTTCTATATTCATAAAATAATTTAAATGAACTTTTCATTCTGGTTGTGAATAAGCTATTTCTCACAAACATGCACATTCATTTCATCCTCCCAAAATTCTTTTTTGCCATTTGTGAACAAAACAAGTTAGATTATGAGTGAACTCATATCAACAGAGGATTATGAATATCTCAGATCAATAATAAATTGAATTTCTTTCCTCCAGCAAGAGCTTAACATGGAACAGGGCAGAAGACATGGAGTGTAAATTATATTTGTAGAAGAGGAAAACTGAGTCAGCTTGGATTCAGGATGAGGAGTAAGGAAGTACTAGTGAGGGGAAAAGGAAACTAAGAAAAATCAGGACATTAACAACTTCATTGGATATAAACAACAAACAAGACAAATGTTCTAAGCAGTGTGCCAGTAAAATTTGGAAAGCTAGGGCATTTTTAGACTACCTTATTTGAAATATCAGAGTAAGAATTTTCTGGTGCCTACATTCTACTAAAGGAAGGATTAGGTCATGAAGAAAAGGTATAATAAGTATTTGAAAGACAGTAATAATGAATATAGTGAAGTGGAACTTGTAAATAGAACTGGGGTAGAAATAAGGATCTTCACAAATGACAAAGCCCAATCCCTTTGGTGTTGATGTCTAGTGTTGTTTATTTGCATCTAGAAATGTTTTCTGGGAGTGTTTATGAGAACAGAGAGACTTTAATATAATTTTACCAAATTGTACAATTTATAAAGGAAAATTACTATAATAATGTATGAATCTGTATATCTGGGTTATGAGCAATTTTGAAATAATTGGTCATTCAGACACCTCAGTACAGATATCATTAGAGGGTATAGAATTAGAGTATCAGTGCAGTGGAAGAATAATTAATGTTTCTGATGAACTATTAAATTTTCCAGGACAGAAACTGCCTTTCATTTTTTTTTACCATGTATTAGTCTGGGGAACTGTGGGATGATTACAAGAGTGATATGTTTTTGAAAATACACTCTCTAAAAACAGCAAGAGAACTGTTGCATACACATTGGTTCATTTACACTACCCCTCTTCTAAATGAATTGTTAAGACCTGGGAGATCGGGAAGTTAGTTTGCCTGCTGTTTTTCAAACTCCTGAGAGGATCTTGAGACCTGTGGGAAATAATGTTCGCCATTCTTCACAGACACTATAAGGATGTTGTTCTGTAATTTTGGAGTGGCAGGAATGGCAATGACAAATAGCTCAGATGATTGCCTATAGATTCATGGTTATAACTAAAAAGATGTCCTTATAGAAAATAATTGGAAAGTTTTGAAAATGTTTTTATGATCACATTTCATCTTTTCACTGGGAATTTTTACTTTTAATCACTTATTTTTACTAGGATAATAAATCAAAAGTCCTCTATTCTGAGATATGGATCCAATTATCTCTTTCCATGGAGAATACACCAATTTTTCTCAGGAATATTCAAGAGGTTCTTTCCACTGATTTTAATTTTCTGTCAGAGACACTTGAAAAAAACAAGAGGCCCTCATGTTCTAAGAAACGCTTTGCTTTGATTGACCATTAGTATTCTGATGATTAATAATTTAATAAAAGTACTACCCATTATATGACCGTAGTGATCAGGAAGAGAAAAAAATGATAAAAAATATTGTCTTGAGATTTTCACATAAAAATGCCTGTAGTGCCTTAAACCCAGATATAGTACTTTTGAATCGCCTTTTTGTAAAGGAATAGTAACTATCTCACATGATTTTGAGATGTCATACATTAATTTATGATTTATAACTCTTGGGCTCATTTAGCATAACAACAGCCCAGGTGAGCTTTTCCACCAGCTGTCAAGGACAGACACTACTCTCCTTGCCCAAATAGGATATTCCAACCTCTGTGTATGTCATGTCTGAAGCCTTAGAAGTTGAGTGCAGGGCCATAAGAAAAGAGAGCTAGAGGTGCCAACTTAGAGCGCTACCACTTGAACCTCAGCCTGGCTTTTTGCTGTTTGTTTGGGGAGTGGTGCTGGTTTTGGGACTTGAACTCAGGGCCTGGTCATTGTACCTAAGCTCTTGTGCTAGCTAGCACCCTACCATTTGAGCCACAGAGACACTTCTGGCTTTTTTTGTTAGTTAATTGGAGATGAGAGTTGCAAGAACATTCTTGTTTGGCTGGCTCAGATCTCGGCCTTTTGAGTAGCTAAAATTACAGGTGTGAGCCATTGGTGCCTGGCTTTGCTGCTTATTTTGGCGATGGAGTCTCTCACACTTTTCTTCCCCACTCTGGCTTAAAACCTTGATCCTCCAGATTTCAACCTCCAGAATAGCTAGGATTAGAGGTTTGTGCCACTAGCACCCAGCAACTTGTTAGTTTTTATTGCTATAAAATGTTCTCATCATTTTATCTCCCTTCTGACCATGACTAGACACAGCCAAAACCCAAAAGTGTCAATGCTTTTCTAATAACATTTGGTTCTAACCTTCATAGAGATGAATGTGGCTCATCCCCATCTCCCCAGGGATACATGATTCAGTGAGCTGGATCTGGGGATTTAGTCTGACCAAAAATCAATTCTGCCTCAGAGTGTATTAAACTGAATACTTTTTTAAAGGATAAGGAAAACACATTCAAGGTAATACTTGACATCTGTCTCTCTGCTGTATAACAATGATGAATAATTAATTAAATGGGATCAGTGAGGGTTTTTTTTTAAGATGGAAAGCTTATCACATTTAAAGTATTATTAGTCATGTAGGTGAAGCAAGTAATAACAAAATGTTGGATTCTTTCTTTTCACTAAATAACAGAGCTCATCTACTTTTGGAGCCATGAGTCCTGGGAATATTGGACCAAGGAAAATTGAAGAACTTAGACGTAAGTAATTTAATTATGTAGTATAGATCAATAGGATCAATGTAATATTTATCTAGGTAGTAAAGTTATATGGAAAGCAATAAAAACTAATACAATTAATTGAACTTAGCAACAATGTATTTTATACTAAAAATGGCTAGCTAGGCTGGAGGTGTGTTTCAAGTAGTAGAGTACCAGCCAAGCAAGTTAGGGTTCTGAATTCAAACCCTGGCACCAGAAAAAAAATTGCGGAGTAGATTTTAAGTGTTCTTATTACAAATGAAAGACAAGTATGTGAGGCATTGCATATATACATTTTTCAGTTGACTTGATTTAGCCAATCTAAAGTGCATATGCACACTTCAAAACATCATGTTTTATGTGCTAGATATATTTTTTTGTTGTTGTAGTTGGTCATGGGGCTTGAACACAGAGTCTGATAACTTAAAGTATATGGGATTTACAGGTCTAAGGGTGGTAATTCAGTGGTAGAGTACTTGACTAACATGTGGAAGCCCTGAGTTCAATCCCCAAACCACCACAAAAATAAATCACAGCTCCAAAAATTTAGAAGAAATGCTTTCTATTTTTCCAACATTTTTGTTTATATATTTTCAGAGTTGAACATTTTACAAATCCTGAAAAATATAGACTGCTCTGATTCTGGTGGCCATGATCATAGTAACTACAGGACGGGCTGGGAGAGGAAGTGAATTTTGTTCAATTTAGCTAATTATGAAAGATATTATACTAAAGAAAAATTTAAAATAATGAATGGTTAAAGTGAGGTCTGAGGACGGTTTTAAAATTTTAGTTATTATTGCTTTACATACTGAAGAGGCTATTTGCCCTACTCTAGAGATATTCACTACCTGGCAGTATTCAAAATTGGATGTATTTCTGTGCTACTTGTATTTCTGATAATGCAGGTCTAATAATCTCTCAACTCCAAGGTCAATGAATCATTTTTAAAATATTATATCTAAATATGTACTTAGGCTTTAGAAAGTCCATGCTAGATAGAAGCAGATGATTTAAAAATAATTACCAAAAATGGAAAACCTTACAATCAGGTGCATTTCTGGTAATACTTAAAAGTCATGTTCTGCACCTAATGCAGGTCTCCATTTGATACCACTATAGACCAAATGCAAGCTGGACTTTTGTACATCTTCCTTGGGCCTGTCCACTTTTAACATTTATAGGTTACTTATGGAAAGCCAAGCATCTGCTCATTTCTGTACAAAGGACAAATGATAGAGATATTTTATAACACATGAATGTTCTTGAGGAGAAGCCTGTATTAAAAATGAACATGAACACACCATGATTCCTTTTCTTTAATTACTGTTTTTTAATGTCAAATTTGTTTTTGTTTTTGTTCTAGTACTGGGTTTTTGAACTCAGAGTCTGGGCTCTGTCCCTTAGCAATTTTGCTCAAGGCTTGTGCTCTACTTGAGACACACTTCTAATTCCAGTTTTTTTGGTGGTTAATTGGACATGAGTCTTTCAGATTTGTCTACATGGCTTCAAATTGTAATCTTCAGTTCACAGTTTCTTGACTAGCTAGAATTATAGGCATGAGTCACCGGTACCTGGCTCCAAGGGTTTTTACAAAGTACAATCCAAGGTGACAAATTTGTACCCAAATCAGATTATTTTGTTTGATGGGTCTTACATATAAAAATATTTTATATATGACCTATTTATGTTTCTAATAATGTAGAGTGTTTGTTTACATATCTATGTATAGACATAGATATGGAGATTTAAGCATATATGCATACACATACACACATAAATACATCAATCATGCATACATACAGACATACATAGAGGGGAGGCAGAGAGGAACAGAGAAACACACACACACACACACACACACACACACACACACACACACAGAGAACTAGACAGAGATAGAAACAATGACCAAGACAGATAGCAAAAATGTCATTTGCCACTAGGATACCAACATTTATCATCTCCACATGGCTGCACTATAGAGTAACGTATTTTTTTTCTTCTTTTTACTATGTATTTCTTCTGCAAGTATTTTTACAACTCTACCTAGGATTGGTCTATATTAACAATATTTTAAAGACAGTTGTTAGGAATGTAGCTTGTTTGGATCAAAACCACAAGCTAGTGATTACAGCTAGAGAATGTTTTAGTTGTTATCCCCAAATGAGCATGAAGAACCTGAGCTATTTAGAGTCAGTAAACAAGCAAACAGCCTTAGCTTTATCTCCCTGTTCTTACAGCAATTACTCAAAGCACTGATGAAAATAGTGAAGACATCTGGGATCCAAAAGAGGTTCCAGACACAGCAGATCCTGATGACATTTGGGATGATCGTGAAATCCCAGAGTAAGTCAAATGAAGCCTGGAATGTGTTTAGGTGTTTCAGTTACATGTGTCATCTGATACCATCCTATTTTTGACATGATTCATGAAGTAACTTACACCACATAAAGATAAAATACAGTGTCACAGAAGGCATGTATAATTATTTTTCCTTTTCTACAGCAGAAACAAATAATAAAACATAATACTTTCCTTTTAGTTATTATCTAGCAAAAGATAAAAAATACAGTCATTTCCATTATAAATTTATATTCAGTGTCAGTGTGTTGTCTAATGTAGAACTAACAGTAGGAGAAAACCAGCCCATTAAATTGTAAGCATTCATGCAAACCAAATTACAAAACCATGTTTATGTGTCAAAGACTTGCTTTTAATTACTCAGTGTTGTATAATTTCAGTAAAAGGCTATGTCCTCCCTCCAATTATCAATTATTATGCAGAGTTATTTACCATCTATTTTGGGATTATGCTTAGTTTTCAGTATATTTGCCAGCAGCATTCAAGCCTTGCTTTGTAGCTTTTTCAATATCAAATTGAAAATATAAAATCAAGAATTATTACCATAAAGACCCGTAATTCTGATGAAAATTCTTTATGAAGGAATTTGAAGTACATTGACATACACAGATAAAATGAATGGTTAAACTGACTAAGCTTTAAATATGTACATTTTAAAGTAAAATTCTGATTAAGTATTTAGAATACCTGGAAAAACAAAGACAATTTTGCTAAATTGTAATCAGCTTTATCATTATTAGTTGGGAGGGAGGAGATTGAAACAGAGGCTGTTTATGTAGCCCAGGGTAGTCTCAAACTTGGAATCTTCCTGCCTGCCTTCTAAGTACTGGGATTACAGGTTTGTTCCACCACATCCAACTTTAGTTTATTAGTTCTAAGGACTTTCATGACAATTTGTATTTCATCTTTACTCATTCTGACTGCAAAGCAGTCCAATATGTTTTTTTAAACCCCATGCTTCTATCTTCAACATTAATTTTGATAATAGAAGCAGTGGGAGCTTGTAGATAATTAACTGGTAAGAATTATCGAGCTTACAAACAATATAAAAGACATAAACCTTATAAAATCAGAGAAGATACGAAAACATTTCTGTCTATATCTTAAGGATCAAAAAAGTAAATCACAGGTCATTTTTATACAGTGCCTGAAGATCTATATGAAAGATAAGAATGAGTCATTCATCATTTTGCCTAATAGATGTCACACATCCATATGCAGCAAGCTTGAAATTAGAGTAAAATTCCACTTTTCATCCTGACATTTGATGTTCTCTACATAGAGCATCCATAAAAGCTTTAAATGCATAATTACTCCAGTCAAGATTGAAGGAAATTGCTTTATAAGAATTTTTATTTTTGTTCTCTATCTTATGAAAATACAATTCAAAATATCCCAAAAGATAAAGAGGAAAATGGGCAATGAACACAAACAGGTGAACACAAAAGAAGAATCACAAGTGGCCAAATGAAAATATTATGTCTGAGCTAAGAGGAATCCAGAGGTGTTGTTTGATAGTTTGAAGGAAGATTTAGTATTTAGGTAGGATAGACTTGAAGAAAGTATCAAAGACAGTGCTGAACCTATTAACCTGGTGATTGATAAAGAGTGATTACAGTAACTGTGATAGGGATTGTACGTGGAGGAGAAGCAGTTCTTTGGCTCTGAAGTGCCTTTGGGACATAAAGACAGACCTATATAATACGCAGTTGGAAAATTGTACCTGGAGCCCAGGATAAGCACAGAAGCTTGATCAAATTCATATGGGAGTCTTGAGCATATGAATTGATCCCTTCTGTTTTGTTTTAATCTGGTTTTGCTTTTGCAAATACTTGGTAGACAGTATAGCCTATTAAGATAAAAGTAATCCGTAACAAATAGCTATTTATTGCCAGTCTTGTTCAAACATAAAGCTATTCCTTTTTTATTCATGGGTATACCTATTTGCACATGGTCAGAAATTCAATCTAGTCTTTTACTGTTCCAATCCAAAATTCACTATTTCCTCAGTATGGTAGAATTAAACAGAAAAAAAAATAATTTGTAGGGCTGGAGGTGTAGCTCAGTGAAAGAGCCCTCTTCTACATGCCTGATGCACTGGGTTTCATCCTAGCTCCAGAAAAAAAAAGAATTTGTGAATGCTAATTTTATTTCATCTGAAGAAATATAACTCTATATAGTTTAGTGCTTCTATAAACCAGTCTATCCCTAAGAGGAAGGAAAAGATTTGTGAATGGTATATGTGAGTTGAAATACCAGGAAATTCTTTCATTCTGTCAGATGAGATTCTGAATACCTTAATATACTATGTTGATTACATCACCACTGTTTCTACTACAGAATTTTAGACATGGAAAAAGCCATAGAGAGTAGTCAATTCACACTTGCCTCATCCCATAAATCACAATGTAGAAGTGGAAACTTGGCAAAGATACTATGAGTATGAGACCTTTCGTTCTTTCTTTCTTTCTTTTCTACTGAGGTTGAAACTCAGAGCCTTACACTTGTTAGGAAGGCACTCTGCCTCTTAAGTCTTGCCTCCACCTCTTTTTGCTTTTGTGATTTAAAAAAAATAAAGTCTTGCTTTTTGCTCAGGTCAGCCAGAACCACTATCATATTTACAGTTGTGATGTAGCTAGGAGCACAGGTGCTTGCCACTATGTCCACCTATTTGTTGATTGAGATTAGAATCCTATTACCTTTATTGCCCTGGCTGGCCTTGAACCAAAATATTTCCAATTTAGGATTACACATATATGAGTCATTCACCTGGCTTCTGTATTTCTGACTGCCTTTCTAGACTTCTGTTCCTTTTTGTTCTACTATATGTCTGAAAATAGTAAGCACTTTATTTATTTGGTCCTTTATTTTTTTAATAACATATCCTCATGTTTCTGGTAGATATTTTTTTTCTCTGTGACAGGAAATTGCTCTTTCATTTCAGTTTCCATTATCATTGACTTTTTTTCAGGCATGAGATCATTTTCAAACAGCAGGTGGGAACAGAGGATGTGTACCTAGCATTTACAAGAAAGGACCCTTCAACAGCATGCTGTCAAGAGATAGTGGTAAGCATCACCTCTCCTCTATTTTCTATATGACAATTATAGTTAAACTGCCTAACTGTTAAATACGTAATATTCTAGGCAAGTCTGTAGACTTTTTACAAATACTAGTTGCTGTGCTTCAGAGGAATGATTTGAGTTTAGAATTGATAATATGTACAAAATTAACTAAGTTTACACATGTTGAATGAGATTCATAAGTACACACAACAAAATAATGTAACAAGTTCTAGGCTTATTAAAAGTCCTCAATCTGATTGGAATGAATAAATATTCTTTCATTCTAGTTCTGTCTCATTCATGCTATCTGACTGGGTATTTACCTTCTGACATGCTGACAGGCCATCAGAATGAAATATTCCCTTTCCTGATTCTGCCTTATCGTTCATTTCTGTATTCTTGTGATGACTCAGTCTGCTATGAGGGATTTTAAAAGCTATTTTCTTCTTAATTTTCAAATCTGAACATCTGATTTAAGCTACTGAAAAGACGTCTAAAATGTTTGGCTTTTATTTGAATTACACTACTGCACATTGGGGAGTACTCTTTGCCAAGTCATAGTTTCTATATAATAACGATAGCATCCCAATAGTGCCAATGATACCACTTTGTTGCTTATTTGATCCTCATAATGATTTTGTTGTGAAGTCTGGGTCTAACCTAAATGGTAAGCTTCAACTCATTTTGGCAGCATACACAAGTGATTCTGGGGTTAAAATTTTTAGATCAGAGGCTATGCTATCTTCTTCTCTTGGCTCTTATAACACATTATAGAATACAGAAGTGCCCATAGTAGATGCTTAATATTATTTTCCTTAACAAAATGATAAATGGAGTCTCCCTTTGGCAGGAACTTCAAGTTTTCGCTTATTAGCAAAATTTAAGACATTCAATTGAATCAAGTAACATAATGGGAATAGTGACTTTAAGTACCTCAGGAGGTTGTTCAAACTCTAATGAGTTAAGGTTACAAGTGATCTTGAAGTAATTAGCTCCCAGGGTTTTACTAGTAATATTCAAATTCATCTCTCTTAAACTGCCATAAAATTATGTTTTTGATGTCTAGTGTTGGGGATTGCTCTAAGCTCCAGGCCTTAAAGAAAGAAAACCGTTGAAAGTGATTCCGTTTCTTTCATGCAAATTACTACTAGGTATTCTGAGAATTTTGAAAACTAAATCATATCTCATAAGAGGAATATACAATTTATTTAAAATTTAATAAGTGTATATGAAAGAATTGATCTTTCCTTTGAATGAATTTATATTCGACTGGGGAATAAACCTAACATAAATGAATAATTTTATTACTAACAATCAAACAGGCAATTTTAAGTCTACTGGGAGTTCATGAAGTTCGGTCAAGGTATAGACACCACTGAAAGACAGCAACAAACAAAAAGTTTGTTGAAGCTGAGGCACTTTACTACTTGTATACTGGTTTTTTCTTGCTTTCCTTTCTTTCTCTTCATTCCTTCATTTACTTAACATTTATCTAGTGAATTCTACTACATAACAAGTGCTGTCCTAAGTACTAAGACACAAAGACAGCCAGCCCCTCAGTAGATGAATGGATCAGGCAAATGTGGTATACATACACAATGGAATTCTATGATGTCTCCATCAGAAAGAATGACATTGCCCCATTTGTTAGGAAATGGGAAGACTTGGAAAAAATTATATTAAGTGAAGTAAGCCAGGTCCAAAGAAACATAGGTCCCATGGTTTCACTTATTTGCAATAACTAGTATATGTCTGAAACAAGCAGAAAAGGTTAAATAAGATGATGTTGAGCAAAACGAACCCCAAGAGAAGGACACAAGTGGTTTTTTCTTTCTTGCTATTATTTCTAACATATTTATAAGGTACCACATGATTTTTTTTGTTGCTTTGTATGTCCCTCCCCCACGGTATAACCCCTGTTTTCACTGTATTTGATGTTGCTATAATTTGGGGAGGGGGAGGGAAAAAAACAAATTGTTTAAATAGGGACACAGGTGGACCCATTGCAACAATGAGATGTACAAATCTTTATGTTGAAAAACGAACTTTATAATTTAGGCTGGGGGGGGCGTGGGGGGTGCGGGGGCGGGGGGGGGGAGTGTGGTTGTGGAGATCGGAGGGAAGGGACCGTAAGGGGAAAACAAAGGAGGAGGCAACAATGTTTGATAAGAAATGTACTCATTCCTTTGCTCATGTAATTGTAACCCCTCTGTACAGTATTTTCACAATAAAAAAACTTATTTAAAAAAATCTCAGTGAAAAAGTCAGACAAGGGCTGGGAATGTGGCTTAGTGGTAAAGTGCTTGCCTAGAATACATGAAGCTCTGGGTTTGATTCCTCAGTACCACATAAACAAAAAAAGCTAGAAGTGGCTCTGTGACTCAAAAAGACAAGAAAGAAAAGAAAGAAAGAAAGAGAAAGGAAGAAAGAGAGAGAGAGAAAGAAAGGAAGAGAGAAGGGAAGAGAGAGAGAAAGAAAGGAAGGAAGAAGGAAAGGAAGGAAGGAAGGAAGGAAGGAAGGAAGGAAGGAAGGAAGGAAGGAAGGAAGGAAGGAAGGAAGATAGGACAGTAAAGGAGCCAGGCACTTAATAGATCACTGCAGTTTCATTTGGTAAGTACATACATAGAAAGTTCTATCAGGTACTTGGTGGTACAAAGCAGAAAGAAAATCACCTGCTCTTTTTGGATGGATAGGTTTTCTATAGTGGACATCATTCCAAGAAGAGCATTATAAGCAGAGCATATTGACAATACCCAAACATGAAGTAGTATGCATGAGTAGCAATTAAGTATGAGAATTAAGAATAAATATGAGAAATGGTGTATTGGTAAGCTACTTCTCAAAAGATATTTTTAAAATTTTTTATTGTAAAGGTGATGTACAGAGAGGTTACAGTTACATAAGTCAGGTAATGAGTATATTTCCTTTTGAACAATGTCATCCCCTCCCTCTTTCTCTCCCAGTTTTGCTGTTCCCCTGACTTCCCTGCCCCCCAAAGTTGTATAATTCATTTTCATAGTGTCCAGTGGTTCACCCTTAGTCTCACTGTTTCTGTGCTTTCTCTTCCCCTCCTCAAATCAGATAAATTTAGATCCAGGACAGAGGGTACAGAAATCAAAAACAATGACAGAAGAGAATTAACCAAAGAAAAAAGGAAAGGAAAAGAGAGAGAGAAAAAACCTGAATACAGTACCAAAAAAACTCCAATTTGGATTGGGAATGTGTAGGTCAGGAGAGCACTTGCTTTGAATGTATGCAGTCCTAGGTTTGATCCTTAAGCTCACAAATGAACAAAACCCTGAGTTGCAGCTGAGTTTTACTCCCTAAGCATATTAATGATGATATCCATCATCATTGCTTAACCCCACTGGTAAGACTCAGAGTAAAGAGATGGTTGGCCCCATCTCAAGAATTTCTTTTAGAAATTTCTATGATTTTTGCTCCTATTGATAATATTTTGTTTCATTGAATCTAAGAATTACCACGTGTATACCAGTATTGAGATTGAACTCAGGGCCTGGGCACTGTCCTTTAGGTTTTGCACTCAAGGCTAGTACTCTAACACATAAGCTACTTTTTGGTGGTAAATTCGAGATAAAATTCTCATAGACCTTCCTGCTTGGGCTGGCTATGAACCATGACCTCATATCTCAGCCTCTTGAATAGCGATGAAGCACCAGCTCCTAGCAATGTGCCACTTTAAAAAAATAGTGTTTTAACATACATATTGCAACTCAATAACAGAAACATTAAAATGTGGAGAAATAGAACTTTACATTTTGTTAAATGCTTTATTTGGAAGCCAGGTACTGGTGGCTCACTCCTGTTGTAATCTTTTCAACTTAGGAGGCTGAGATCTGAGGATCATGGTTTGAAGCCAGCCTGGGTAGGAAAGTCCGTAATATTCTTATCTCCATTTAACCACCAAAAAGCTGGAAGTGGAGCTGTGGCTCAAGTGGCACAGTGTTAGCCTTGAGTGAAAAAGCTGAGGGACAGTGCCCAGGTCCTGAGTTCAAGTTCCAGCAAAAGAAAAAAAATTATTTGGGTCTTGGGCCTGTAATATAATAATCCAATCCAGAAACTTATATATAATCTTTGCTTAAGACCTTACATGGTTAAGCATAAGGAATTATTTGGGATTTTAAAAATTCACAAGAGGGCTGGGAATGTGACACAGTGGCAGAGTGCTTGCCTAGCATGCATGAAGCCCTGGATTCGATTCCTCAATACTACACAAACAGAAAAAGTGAGAAGTGGCTCAAGTGATATAGTGCTACTCTTGAGCAAAAGAAGCTCAGCGATGGTACTCAGGCCATGAGTTCAAGCCCCAGGACTGACAAAAACAAAAAAATTCACAAGGACATGGTTTCCTTTTTGGTTCCCCAGATTCCAAATGAGAGTGCAAGGTTTATGAATGTGAATCAAACGGATAGGCCTAAACAGAATTCTGAGTTAGGAATATGTATACTGTATCTTCAGCAAGCCTTTCTAACTCCAAACCCAGAGACTACCAGTATTCAAATTCTGCGAGTCTTATTGTCATTCTCTGAGGCTTTACTCTTGGGTGCAGAGCTACCAGTCTTCTTCCTCTTCCTTTGTAGTTAGGCATTTTAGAGCTGGAGCTTAGCTTGTGCTTTACAGGTTTTTAAATCACCCAAGCCTTTTCTTCAAATACAGTTTTTTTTTGTTTTGGTCAATCATGGGGCTTGAACTCTGGGCCTGGGCACTGTCCCTGCCCTGTTCAGCTCAAGGCGAGCGCTCTACCACTTGAGCCACAGCACCACTTCCGGTTTTCTAGTGGTTTATTGGAGATAAGGGTCTCACAGACTTTCCTGCCCAGGCTGGCTTTGAACCGCAATCCTCAGATCTCAGCCTCCTGAGTAGCTAGGATTATAGGCGTGAGCCACTGGCACCCAGCTCAAATACAGTTTTATGAGAAAACTAAACATAGAAAACACAAAAGAGTACCATTTCCTTGAAGGACAGGGGCGCCTTGGAATACA